CTCTCTCTCTCTCTCTCTCTCTCTCTCTCTCTCTCTCTCTCTCTCTCTCTCTCTGTCTCTTTCTCTCTCTCTTTCTCCTTCCTTCTGCCATGTCTTGAGTTCCTTTTCTTATTTGACTGTGATGCTCTGCTTTACTTTAGACCCAGAGCAGTGGAGTTAGCCAGCTATGAACTTAGACCTCAGACACCATAAGCCAAATACACTTTTTCTCCTCCAATTTTTCTTGTCAGGTCTTTTGGTCACAGCAGTGAAAAAGCTCACTGAAACACTATACACTTTTTGTGAATTTAACCCCTTTTAGACCCATCAGATTCTCACAGTGAAAATTGGAGATCTTTAAGAAGGGAGTGCATAGAAACAGCTATTTTAAAATATACCCAAAGCATTCTATTTGGTTAAACAAGACATTCTATTAAGAAAAACTCTTTTTCAAAGACTATCAGATCTTATATAAGCAAGATATCTAAACCTAGTGTGTTCCGGTCTTCCAACATCAGGTAAGGTAAAACAAATAAACAAACAAAAAATTTAGAAGTATTTGTAAAAGTTAAAGCCCAAAGGTGCAGCTCAGTAAGAGTAGGACCAAATCATAGGACCACAGAATACTTTCTAATACTAACCCTAATCCTTACCACTATAGCAATAGGGCTCCTATATGATAATGGGATAATATAATTAAAAGAAAAATACATCTCTAACATTATATGAAAATTCCTAAAAATACCCCAAAACAAAGAGGACAAAAAAATAACACCAGAAAAAATTTTAGTATTTTATACCACAACTACCGAAAATACTAAGCACAGCTGAATGCCTATCCAAAGAAATATAAAATCTCACAACCAAGACTTATTACCTCAGTTTCTTTATCCTAGTACATCATACTTCACTTTCAACAACAACAAAAATAGTTAAAAGGTATACTAAAATACCAAATGAACAAGCAAACAAGCAAATTCAAAGTCACACAGTCTGAAGAGGACAGGAGAAAGAAAAGGGATTATGAACAAAATGTTATAAATACTAGAAAAGTAAAAAGAAAGAAGATGAGTCTGGATAATTTGTAAAAAAATAAAGATAAAAATGTAATACAAGAGTTGGTATATCCCTAATATTTGTGAACAGAAACCTACATATCTTCAATAATGAAGCAGTATAACAAATACCTTTTGTGCAAATGTGACTTGAAGTAATATTGAAAATTTTAGACACTGCAAACACACAAAGGCAATTGGACAGAAAAACAACTAGAATGAAAAAATATGAAGATCTGTGAAAATGACCAAATTGAATTTTTGAGGGAAACCCAAAATACATGAATAAATGATGACAAATCTAAAAGAACTTAAATAGGAGAATATAAAATCAACATGTGAAAATGAATGTTATGAAGATGAAAATGTTATAATTTGGATTCAGAATGTTAACCAAAGACCCATGTATTAAAATACTGAGTTCCCAGTTTTGCATTATTGGAAGGTGGTGAAAACTTCAAGAGATGGGACCTCTTCCAATAACTGGGGATCTGCCCTTAAGGAGAATATTGGACCTCAGGTACTTCTTCATCTCTTTGATTCCTGGTCATAACCTGAAAGGGCATCCTCTTTTGATTACAATTTTTATTTATATTCATATTTTGCCTCTTTCTGCTTAATGTAATCTGTTAAAAGTAGCCATGCAGTACCCTTAAGAGCTTCGCCATTTGGACATTTTTTCTGCCAATAATCCTAAATCATCATTCATAAATTTCACTTTCATCTAAGGTCACCAGCATGGACACAATTCAATAAAATTCTTTGCCAATTTATATTAAGTATAGCTACACTCCAATTTCCAATACCTTTTTAGCCAGTGGTCTCAACTTCATGGAGTCATTCATTTCTAATTATTAGCCAAAATCCCCTTCTGCAAATAAAATTAACATAATACATTGAGTATTAAAATTCTAATATATGAAATATGGAGGACACATTCAAACCATAACCGTAAAAATAGGTATGTGGACACTACCAGGATCTCTGGTAAGAACAAATATATTTATGAAATAGCTAATAAGGAAAAAAAGAATCCTTGATAATTTTGCTGTTATACTTCAATCTGCAAAAATTACAGTCAGAGTGCATTATAAAAATGGTTAGTCAGATGTAAAAGGTATCAAATCACAGGGTATGGGATGATCTGGTAATTTGAGGATCTATGGTAGTCTTGGAAGATATCCCCTAAAGAAAAAAAGAGACTATAGTAGAAATAACAGCAACAAAATTATTTGGAACCACAAAAAATTCCAACAGTCAAAGTAATTTTGAGCAAAAATAAAAATATGGAAGTATCATGCTCCCTGACTTCAAAATATTCTATAAAGTTATGGAAATACAAACAACATGGTACTGTAATAAAAACAGACACATTGGTAAATGGAAGAAAACTGAAAGCCCAGTTATAAATCAATACATACTTACCCAACTGATTTTCCAGAAGGTACCAAGAGGACAAAATGAAGAACAGTTTAGTCAACAAATAGTGTTGGGAAAACTGGATATCCAAATGAACATAAATGAAAACAGATGCCTATCTTACACATAAAATAAAACAACCCAAAATGAAGTAAATACTTAAATTTAAAGCCAGAATTATAAAATCATAGAAAGAAAACATAGAGGTAAATATCTATGACACTGGTACAAGCAAAAACTTTTGAGATATGATTGTATACTTACAACATAAGGAAAAATAAAAAAAATGAGAATTCATCAAATTAAAAAGCTGTACAGCAAAAGTGGCAACATACTACACTGACAATCTTTTGGATAATAGAAAATATTTGTAAGCTATATATAAAATAAGTGATTAATATCTAAAACATATAAGGAACACAAACTCAATAGCAGAAAAACAAATAGCCAGATTAAAAATGAGCAAAAGACCTGAAAATATATTTCTCAGAAGATATACAAGTGACTAAAAATAATATGAAAAGATGTTCAACATCACAGATCATCAGGGAAACGCCAATTAAAACCACAATGAAATATCACCTAACCCCATTTAAAATGATTTTTTATCATAAAATAACAAGTGTTTGCAAGGAATTAACGGGAATGCATACATACTCTTGGTGGTAATGTAAATTAGTACGGCTTTTATGGAAAGCATTATGGAGGTTCCTCAAAATTAAACATAGAAGTACCATATAACCTATTGTTCTATCTCACTGCATGATATGTATCCAAGGGAAATAAAATCAGTATATTGAAAAGATGCATTGATTCTCATGTTTATTCTAGCATTATTCACAATAAAAAGACAGGGAATTTAGCTAAGTGTTTGTGCATTGATAAATGTATTAATAAAACATTACATCAAACTGAACACTATTCAGCCATAAAATGGAATGAAATACTGTCACCTATGACAACAGAGATGGATTAGGAGGACCTTATGTTAACTGAAATTATCCAGGAGCAAGAGACATACTGTAAGAGCTTATTTGGAAATGGAAATAGAGAATAGAATGAGGATTTGAAATGTTTGGAAAAGGGTTTCAAAATGGTCAGTTTAAAAATATTAGGTAAGTAGAAAAAATATATTCAAAATATTATTATATGACATGGTGAGCCTCATTAATGATATGTTTCTTCTTGAAAAATGCAGACAGTAGATATAGTGCTCTTACCACAAGAACAATAGCTATGTGAGGTAGTGCCTATGAAAAAATTACTAGTTTTAATCATTCTACTACTCAGGTATACTTCAAAACCTCCTGTTGCACATGGTAAATAAATATTTTACCTGTCAATTAAAAAAAAGAAAGATTGAGACAAAAAAGGAAAAAATACTTCACAAGCAAAACAAAAATGGAGCAGAATCAGAATAGTTACAAAAGACATTGCAAACAAAATCTAATAAATGTATTACATAAATGAAAATAAAAATAAAAAAATCCCACAAGAGGTCTTAAACATCAGAAAAAATATGTAAGTAAATAAGCTCATAGTAAAACAGATTTTTTCTTAAATTCTTTCTCAACTTCCTCATAAGAATTATGTTTTCTGAAAGTCTAGCAAAATAAAATTTTTAAACCACAGGGTTTTATGAATATCTAAATTTTCCTTTTTGAACATTGTAGAGAAGACAATAGAAAAGATGTCTTTTTTTCAGCTTCTGAGAATGAGAAGATTTTCAATTATCATGAAAGAGAAATTGAACTATGTATCAAAAGTTTTTATCATTCAATTCAGTCTCTATTGAAACCCACTAAGCTATTTTATGGGTATTGTCAAACTGATTCTAGTATTTATATGAAGAGGAAAAGATTAGGTCATTCAATTATGAAGGAGAAAGAAGTTGAAGAAGTGATATTATATGACTTCAAGATACAACAAAGAGCCACAATTATCATGATATTATGGTATTGGCAAAATATATTTGAAGAGATTAATGGAACTGAATATAAAGCCCAGAAGTAGAACTACATAAACAGAGTCAACTGGGATTTGGCAAAAATGGTGACAATGGAGAAAAACATAATCTTTATAGCTCATAGAGCTGGATAAAGTAAACATTCACATGCTGAAAAAGCAAAAAAAAAAAGTGTGTAGACACAGAATGTATGCTATTTATAAAGAATAATTTCAGGTCTCGGGAAAGATGGCGGCGGAAAGTGAGTAAGCCGCTCTGTGCTCTGCGCCGCTGCACCCGCAGGGTATGTTGCTGCGTCTTAAAAGAAGAAATAAAGATCATTAAAGGAGATCTGTTGATAAAGACTCAGCACCGTGTCAAGAAAGGGGCCTAGGTGGAGTGAATCCGCCACGACTCCAGCCAAGGTAGAGAGAGTCCATCACGACTTCAGCGCGAGCAGTAAGCTGCAGCCCCTGAGCTTCCCGGCTCCCTTGGCCCCTTCTCCTTCTCCTCTCCGCCTTTCTGCTTTGCTTCTCCCCTGCCCTCTCTCCTCCCATGCTCACTCCCTAAATCTAGATCTCGATTTCTTTCCCCCACCCCACCCACTCTTTCGCGTGCCCAGTACCCGGCCCGCATGGGCCCCA